AGGCTATACAAAACTTAAACTGACTAATAATAAACAATGATATTGAAGCAGTGATAAAAAGCGGTCCAACAAAGCAAACCCCAAGATCAGATGAATTCTTTTATGAATTCATATTTAGAGAAGGACTAATGTCAATAAGTTCCTTAAATTATTCCATGAAATATAAAGGGATGAAATACTTTTAAATTCATTCTATGATGCCAGGATCATCCTGATACCTAAACATATAAAAGAAGAACTACAGATCAACATCCTTGATGCACATAGATGCCAAAATCCTTAATAAATATTGTCAAATCCTATTTAATATCACATTAAAATAATGTTCATCATTATCAAATTGGTTTCATTCCAGGGATGCAAGGATGGTTCAACATTCTTGCATCAAGTGAAATCAAAAAATGTAATTCACCACATAAATATAATTAAAGATGAAAACCACAGTCATCTTAATAGATGCTGAAAAAGCTTTTGTCAAAATTCAGCACCTAGGGCTGGGGATGTGGCTCAAGCGGTAGCGCGCTCGCCCGGCATGTGTGCGGCCCGGGTTCGATCCTCAGCACCACATACAAAGATGTTGTGTCCATTGAAAACTAAAAAATAAATGTCAATCTTTAAAAAAAAAAAATTCAGCACCTATCATAATATAAACAGTAAAGAAGCTAAGAATAGAAAGAACTTACTTAAATATCATGGAGGTGGGGCTGGCATTGTGGCTCAGTGGTAGAGCACTCACCTAGCATGTGCGAGGCCCTGGGTTTGATCCTCAGCACCATATAAAAATAAAGATATTGTGTTCAACTACAACTAAAAAAATAATAATAATAAATATTAAAAAAATATCATGGAGGTGATATATGACAAACCCAAAGCCAACATCATAGTAAATGGGGAGGGACAATGGAAAATATTTCGTCTAAAATGAGGAACAAGACAAGGAAAATTAATTAATGAAAAAATGAAATTAATTAATTTTTAATTAATTTCATTAATTAATTAATGAAATTAATGAAAAAATGTTCAAGAGCTTTAGTAATCAAGGAAAGGAAAAAATAAAATTATCACTGTTGGAAGATGACATGATCCTATACTTAGGATATTCATAAAGCTCAACAAGAAGACTTCTATAGTTGATAAAAAATAAACATAGTGGAATATAAGATCAACATATAAAAATCAACAGCTTTCCTGTATACCAATAATAAAGCCGCTAAGAAAGAAGTCAGGAAAACAGTTCCATTCACAACAGCCACAAATAAGCAAATAAGTTGGGTGGCGCACATCTGTAATCCCAGCGGCTCGGAAAGCTGAGTCAGGAGGATTGTGAGTTCAAAGCCAGCTTTAGCAACAGCGATGCACTTAGCAACTCAGTGAGACCCTGTCTCTAAATAAAATAAAAAATAGGACTGGGGATGTGGCTCAGTGGTTGAGTGTTTTTGAGTTCAATTCCCAGTACCAAAAAAAACAAAACAAAAACAAATGAACAAACAAACAAAAACCTAGGGATAAATCTAACTAAGGAGGAAAAAGACCTCTACAATGAAAATTATAGAACACAGAATAAAGAAATTAAGAAGACTTTAGAACATAGAAAGACCTCCCTGTTCTTTGATATGCAGAATGAATATTGTTAAAATGGCCATAATACCAAAAGCAATCTACAGATTCATTGCAATCCCCATCAAAATACCAATGACATTTATTAAAGAACTAGAAATAATAGTCTAAAATTCATTAGGAAGAATAAAAGATGCAAAATAGTAAAAACAATTAGAGTAACTCAGGAAGCATCACAAAACTTAATTTCAAATTATAATACAGAGCTATAGTAACAAAAATTTCATGGTATTGGCATAAAAACAGACATATACACAAATGGAATAGAATAGGAGAAATGGAAACAAACCCACACAGATATAGTCATCTGATTCTTGATGCACCAAAACATATATTGGGGCCTTTTTAACAGCTAATGTTGGGAATCTGGATATCCATGTACAGAGGAATGAGAGTAATTCCCTATCTCTCACTCTGCACAAAAGTCAACTAAAAATGGATCAATGACATAGGATTTAGACTAGAAACTTTGCAACTCCTAGAAGAAAACATAAGGTCAACACTCCCAACATGTAGGCACAAGCGATGACATCCTCAATAGGACTCCTAAAGCTCAGGAAATAATACTTAGAATTAATAAATGGGACAGCATCAAATTAAAACACTTCTTTACAGAAAGGGAATCAATTAATAGGGTGAAGAGAGAGTCTCCAAAATGGGAGAAAATCTTTGCCAGCTGGTCTTCTGACAGAAGATTAATATCCATAATATATAAAAAACCCCCCCAAAAAACAAAAACAACAAAATAACTCAATCAATAAATGGGCAAATTAAATAAATAGATACTTCTCAAAAGAAGAAATAAAAATAGCCAACAAATTAATGAAAAAATGTTCAAGAGCTTTAGTAATCAAGGAAATGCAAATCAAAACTATATTGAGATTTCATCTCAGCTGAAATGGTCATCATCAAGAATATAAATATTAGGTCTGGGGTTGCGGCTCAGTAGTAGAGTGCACGTCTAGCGTGCACAAGGCGCTGGTTTCTATCCTCAGCACCACATAAATGTAAGATAAAGATATTGTATCCACCTAAAGCTTAAGAATAAATATTTTTAAAAAGAATACAAATACTAATAAATGTTAGAGAAGATGTGGGGAAAAGGAACACTGATACACTGTTGGTGGGATTGTAAATTAGTACAACTACTATGAAAATCAGTATGGAGGTTCTTCAAAAGAGTAGAAATAGAACCCCTACATGACCAAATATACTACTCTTTGGTATTTATCCTAAAGAATTAAAGTCATGTTAAAATGACATATGCATATCCACATATATAGCATCACAATTCGTGATAGCCAAGCTATCAGCCTAGGCATTGGTTCACAAGTGAACAAAGAAAGTGTAGTATGTATGTATATATATATATATATATATATACACAATGAAGTTTTATCCAGCCATAAAACAAAATTGTCATTTACAGGAAAATGTATGGAACTTGAGGACATTATGTTAAGCAAAATAAGCCAAACTCAGAAACTGTCAAGAGTCAGTCATATGTTTTCTCTCATATGTGGAAGACAGAGAAAAAAGGGCAAAAAATTTAAAAGGAGAGGGTGGGGCATCTCATGAAATTAGAAGTGAGACCAGCAGAGTAGAAGAAGGGGACCAGGGTATGGAGGAGGGAAGGAAAAGTGAAGGTACAAGGAATGAGATTGACCAAATTATGTGCATGTATGAATATGTCACTATTATGTATAATTATGCTGCACCAATTAAAAATTAATTTAAAGAAAAATATGTATAAAAGAGAAAAGTGCACTAAAATATTTCAAATTTTTGATAGCCCCAAACTGATAATTAGCCATCTGTTCAGTAATAGGATGAAATTTTATGTAGGTAGTAAAATTAGGTAAAAATAGGAAGAGCTTTCATTAATTGAGTTGTTATTAGCTCATTTGGAATAAATTATTTTATTTGATCCTCATAACAGCTCTATGAGGTAGGTATTATTAGCATATTATTTCTTCTCACTCATAGATGAGGAAAATGAGGCAAAGTTGTGTTAAGTCAGTTACCTGCGGTCCCCCTGAGCTGGGATATTCAAGCTGTGAAGAGTCACTTCAGGACCCATACCTTTAACAAGTTCTTTGTTTTTACAAAGAACGTTATCACACGAAAAAAAATTTTTTTTTTTCTTAGAGTGAGAGAGAATTTTTAATATTTATTTTTTAGTTTTCGGCAGACACAACATCTTTGTTGGTATGTGGTGCTGAGGATCGAACCCGGGCTGCACGCATGCCAGGCGAGCGCGCTACCGCTTGAGCCACATCCCCAGCCCCACAAAAAATTTTTATTTAAAATTGTTCATATATTAATGTTACCTGAAAAACACAGGGTAGAAAATATGGTTTTATTATATTTATAGTACCTATGTTTAAAGTAAAAGCAAAGTGAAGAAATACCTCTCATTGGAAAACAAAAGGCCATAAATATTCCTAACGCGGTATTTATTAGATATGGAAGATGACAAACTCCAAAAATAGTTGAGAACTGGGAAAAGGGGAGTGAGAAAGCCATACACTGAGAGCATCGAATCTTTCCCAATACATTCTTTGCTGGTGATAAAACAAACCCTGGGGAGGAGGTGTCCATCAACCTAGAAAGGCAGTCTCCAGGAAGAGGCCAAAGCATTGATCCTTTCCTAAGTGAATGCTTTCCAGATACTACAGTGACCCCAAACCTTTCATTGGGCCCAGTAAGATAAATCCCAGAGATTGACTGTTGACCCCAGAACTCCTCCCATTTTGCCCAGTAAGACAGACCCCAAATTCCTGAGTGCCCAAGCTGACATGCTCATTATTTAAGGCACCTCTCAGTATAATCTATATAAGCCCAGTGTCCTTCTTTGTTCAGAGGCTTATTTTCCACCAGAAGAGTGGGTCCATTCCCATGCACCCACTGAATAAAAGGCTGAGATGATCTGTGAAGTTTATATCTGGCTGGGTCCTTTTGTGGTAACAGTGTAGGGATGACAGAATTATGACTGGTATATATTTTTTCTCTTTTCCAAATTATCATCTAATATTGGTTTATATATTAAAGCTAAGAAGTTTCTTCCAACTTTTTTTCTCATTGGTTCTTTTTTTTGGGGGGGAGCAGGGATTGAATTTAGGGGCACTCGACCCCTGAGCCACATCTACCACCCTATTCTATATTTTATTTATAGACAGGGTCTCACTGAGTTGCTTAGTGCTGTGCTGTTGCTGAGGCTGGTTTTGAACTTGTGATCCTCCTGCCTCAGCCACTGGAGCCGCTGGGATTATAGGCATGCTTCACTAGGCCTGGCAGCTCACTGGTTTTTCATTGTTAATGACACTTTCCTCTTCTTTTTAGTTTGGTCTTCACATCTGTCTCCTTTCTACCCCCTATTTCAGTGTAAGGGAAACTTGCAACTCAAGCACGCACAGACTCTTCTCTCAGGAGCTAGTTGTGAGGACTGATTCCCCAACCCTGGTTCCATTCTGGCTCCCCACTCTTTCCTCCTTCGGTAAGTCATCTTTCTGTTACTATAACAAATGCCTGAGATAATCAGCTTCAAAACACAAAAGGTCTATTTTGGCTTATGGTTTCAGACATTTCAGTCCACAGTCACTTAGCCCTGTTTTTTAAGGCTGTGGTGAGTAGTACAAAGTAGAGGAAGCACAAGGTAGAGGAAGCTGTTCAAGCTGACAGTTTGGAAGCAGAGAAAAGGAGAGGAGGGAACTGGGTTCCAATATCCTCTTCTAAGGCACTTCCTCCCCAATGAACTAACTCCTCCCACTAGGCCTCACCTCCCAAAGGTTTCCACCACCTCCAACAGTGCCACCTGCTGGGACCAAGCCTTCAACACACTGGCCTTTGAGGGTCATTTAAGTTCCAAACTATTGCACTTCTCTTCCATGAATAGATCGTGGTAAGTGGTATTGAACACCTTCTCCTGTCTGCAGCAGGAATCTCCGACTCTCTTCACCCATATTCTAGGTGTAAATTTTCAGGATTAATCTTGTTTCTTATGCAACCAGGAAGTCAGAATTTGAGGTCAATCTTGTCAAATTGGCTGCGATTTATAATTAGTAAAGTAGCCTTAAAGAATATGGTTGTCCAAACATCAACTTGTACCTAAATGTGGTCATGCAACTAAGTCTGGCCAATGAGAGGTAACAGAAGTAACTATGGCAGCTGCAAAAAAAAAAAAAACTTTCCTTGAAAGATATCTATGTTTTCCCCTTGCCCCTTATTTGTCTCTTCTTCCATCCTGTTGATTAGATAGTGGATTTGATGGCTGGATCTCTACCTTCTGTGTTGAACTGTGGAGGGCCATATTACAGGAATAGCTGCATGGTGAAGAATAGCTGAACATTGAATGAGGACGTTGAGGAGCAAACCCACCATACCAGCCTAGACCACCTACCTCTGGACTTTTATGTGAATGAAAAAAATCAGAATTTATATTTCTCTCAAACTGATTAGCCCAACTGATGCTTTGTTCTTTGATTAAAATATCTGGAATGTTTGTTCCTATTATAAGCTTGAAAGAAATTTGTATAGATGATTATTTTTATTTTCTAATTATTATTTAAAATGTATACACTTAAATCTGAGCTGGCCTAAATGTTTAATATGGATGATCTTGTTTTTCTTGTTTCATCCTTTTGTGCTTTTTTGAGGAGGATGGAGATGCTTAATTAAGATGGTACAGTTTGAACAGAATCGTCCTGAGAGGTGTGACTCACATGGAAAAGTCATTCTGAGTCACTCAAAATATAGACACAGCTTTTGTATTGAGTTCATGGTGAATAAGAATTCACAGTAAGAGTTTGAAAGCTACATACATAAAGCCAAGTGTGAAGGAGACAGATTCATTTTGAAAGGTTAAAGATAATCAAGATCATGACTCAAAAAGAGCCATGTCTTAAAAATCTACAGTTCCTTGTTTTCCTTGCTGGGCCCTCTCTTGCAATGCAATAACTCCAAAGGTGGAAATGTAGAACTTTAATCAAGGCCATTGAATGGAATGACTGATCTTCCCAGGGAGCCACAAGAACCTCCCTATTCCAAGAATCACTTTCTACCCCCAACCTCTTTTTTTATTAACAGAGGATTGAACTCAGGGGTGCCTCACCACAAGCTACATCCAAAGCTCTTTTTACTTTTTATTTTGAGTCAGAGTTTTGGTAAGATGCCCAGACTTGCGACCCTCCTGTCTTAACTGCCTGAATCACTGGAATTACAGGTGTGCACCACCATGCCCAGCTTCTTTTCTTTCTTTTATTGTGTTATCCCCAAAGCTTCAGGGCTCCAGAGCCAAGGTTTTCTACTTTGGCTTCATTACATATTTAATAAGCAAACACAAGAAAATCAGTTCTCTTCAACAAATCCCTATGCAATGTCAGCTGATATCTACTAAGTACCACAAATAAACTTAACTCCCTAGGCAATAACCAGGAGGACCACCTTAATGGCAGATTTGAATCAAGAATTCAAACACACATGTCTTGGGGCTGGGGATGTGGCTCAAGCGGTACCGTGCTCGCCTGGCATGCTTGCGGCCTGGGTTGGATCCTGAGCACCACATACAAACAAAGATGTTGTGTCCGCCGATAAACTAAAAAATAAATATTAAAATTCTCTCTCTCTATCTTAAAAAAAAAATTCAAACACACATGTCTTAAGCAGCACAGTGCCAGAGCCAAAAGGTAGAAACAATCCAATGTCCACCAACAGATGGGCAAACAAAATATATGCACGTTTTATATATTTACTTATATAAATGAAATGTATCCATACAATAAAATATTATTTGTCTGTATAAAGGAAGAAAGTACATGGATGAGTCTCAAAAACATGCTAAGTGAAACAAGTCAAACATGAAAGATTATATATTTTGTGATGCTATTTATAGGAAATATTCAGAATAGCTAAAACTGTGTTACCAGAAGGTATATCATATGTTGCTAGGGACTTTCCCARAGGGAATGGGGAGAGAATGCTTACTGGATAAGCAGCTTCGTTTGGGGTGATAAAAAACGTCTTATAACTAGATAGAAGTGATGGTTGCACAACACTACAAATTTACTAAAGTCACAGATCTGTGTACTTTAAAACAGTTAATTCTATCTCATGTGAATTTCACCTCAATAAGAAAAAGAGAGATTAGAATTGATTGATTGATTCACACATGCATTATTCTAAAAACATTTCCCCCCTTTCCCCGTCTCTCTCTCTTTTTTTCTTTTTCTGCACTGAGGATTGAACTTAGGGGATCCTACCTCTTCTTCCCCAGCTCTTTTATTTTTTATTTTTATTTTGAGACAGGGTCTCACTAAGCTGCCCAGGTGGGCCTTGAACTTGCAATCCTCCTCCTTTATCAGATTTGTGTCTTACAAATACTTTCTCCCAGGCCTTGTTAGTCCTTTCATCTTTTCTTTCTCTWAATAATGCCTTTCACGGAGCTGAAGATTTTAATTTTAGTGAAGTCCAACTTATTAGTTATTTCTTTTGTGAATTGTGCTTTTGGCATTTTATCTAAGAAACCATTGCCAAATGCAAGGTCATCTAGGTTTTCGCCTGTGTTTTCTCCTAGAAGTTGTAGTCTTGTATTTCACACTTAGGTCTATGATCAATTTTGAGTCAATTTTTTTTGTGTGTGTGAAACATGTAAGGCCCGTGTCTGGATTCATTTTTTACACTTGTTCTAGCACCATTTGTTGAAAAGACCATCTTCTCTACTGAATAGCCTTTGTTTCTTTCTCGAAGGTCATTTGGTTGTATTTGTATGGGTCTGTTTCTGTTTCTCTGTCAGTTAGTTACCCCACCTTCTGGATCACTGAAGCTTTACCTTACATCTTTTTTTTTAATATTTTTATTTTATTTATTTTTCAGTTATTGGCAGACACAACATCTTTGTTGGTATGTGGTRCTGAGGATCGAACCCGAGCAGCCCTCATGCCAGATGAGCGCGCTACCGCTTGAGCCACATCCCCACCCCTACCTTACATCTTGACAGTATACAATGTTGGGGAAATGTGGAGAATTTTGACTGAATTGTTTGTTTCATTTTAAACAATATGTTATTATACTTAAAAAATAAAATAAAAACTAAAAAAAAGTCTAGTGGTTTTATTAAACATGATGAATGTATTTATTTTAAACACAAGTGGCATAATATTATATTTAATACTTTCTCTCTTTTTTCCTCTTGTGATGTGGGGGACCAAACYCAGAGTCTCATGCATGCTAAACATGTGCTCTACCACTGAGCTACACCTTCAGCCTCTTCTCTTTCTTTTCATTCATGGGGTCATATCGATACGTCTTTTACAATTTTTCYATATTTAAACAATGGTACAAAAACCATCTTTTCTTTCTTATTTGGTAAGGACTTCCTGCCTCATATCTAGGGTTCCCATCCCTTTTTTAGTCCTTCTTCCAAGATAGGGTATGATTTCAACTATTTTGTATCTTTAGTCTCTTCCTCTCTCTTCAATCCTTTAATCTAAAAGCAAACTCTGCCTCCCTCGTTGAATAAATTCCCTCTCTTTTGGGCCCTGTCCTAGGGAAACATTAAGACTAGTTTATACTATCTCCCTTCCTCTTTGCCCATTTACTTCAAACTTCCCTGCCATCTGCATTTCACCTTAACCATTCTAACAAGTCTTCAGCGTTCAAGGGTGACATTCATCTTGGTTGCCTCCTCCCTGTTTCTCCAAGSATCCACTACAGAAGTTCTATCTAGGACTTCTTGCTATCCTTCTCTTCCTGATCTTTAAATGTGGATATTCCTGAGGATCACTCTTTTTTTTTCCCTCTATTTATATTTTGTCTTTTGACAATTTTGTGGCTTCAAGTACTATTTCAATACAAGTGACTCTAAGATGGATTTTTATACCCTACATTCCTTTCTACAAGTCTTTTCAATTTCTGGAAGATTTTCCCACTTGATTTTTCCCTCTGGTACCTCAAACTTAATATACACCCAACATTTAAGAAGCCTTATTCCAAATCTCCTGTCCATGTCTCCAATTTCGGCTAACAGCACTACCAGAACATCATTTTCACCCTAGTCCCCCTTCTTCTGTCTTCCTGTAGACAACTAGTTTCTAATTGGGTGGGTYCTGTATCTACTATGGTTTTTGCTCCTTCTAATGAGGACTTGTTTAAATTAAATATACCAAACTATTTTTTCCCCTATTTTATTTCCTGGTAACCTGTATTTCTCCATCTCAATTTCCTCAAGCCAAGAATGGAAACTGAGATGCTCCAACCCTTGGCTCGAGCAGATGCCAGTGAAACCAAAATGGAAACATCTCTGGGCAGCACAGCCTGGCTAAGTCCACATAAGTACATCTCTCGCTTTTGTTCCTATAAATTGTAATGTTTATGTTTGACACACAGGCATATTAACTGCTTTCCCAGTTTGGGTCAAACTGCAATTAAATTCCTTTTTCCTGTTTATTATCATTTCTCTTATTTCTGACATTGGTGGGCAATYGAATTCAGTCTGCCTGAACCCAGCAGGGTCTCTGGCTTGGGGCACAGGTAACTCTGTGGGTCATCCAATTTGTCTGAGACAACAGTGTTTGGAGGAAAATCTTGAAGAAGCTGAAAATGAAGATACAATTTCCACAGATGAAGGTTTTGGATAGTTGACTGAGCTGCAATTCTATTATCTCTGCACTGGAGAATCTTGAATCTTGACCAAGCTGTGTTTAAGGAGATTCTTCAGGTTGCAAAAAAGATGGTGGTTGAGTGGCAGGTACAAAATCAGGGTGAAGGCTATTGTCCTAGTTGAGTGGAGAGGTCATAAAGGCAGAGAAACTGTAAAGGTGAGGCAGGTGGCTACTGGAACTCCAGGTCAGACACTCTGTTGGGTTTCAGAGGGCTGGATTCAGTCACCTGCCTACATCAGAAATAAGAGAAATGATATAAAAGGGAAAAATGTATTTAATTACTGTCTGACTGGAACTGGGAAGGCAGTCAAATCTGCCTCCATTGGTGCTTCAGAAACATTACAATGTAAATGAACAAAAGGCAGAAAATATACATATATAGATTTATCCAGGCTTTGCTAGCCAGAGAGATGTTACAATTCAGCTTTCCCTGGTACTTGTCTGAGGGTGCTGGGGGAGCAGCTTCTCAGTGTCCATTTTCATCATGAGGAAGCTGGGGTGGAAAATGCAGGTTATCAGGAAATTAAAGGGAAAAAAGTTTGGAAATTTTAATTCAAAGGAACCCTGCTACCACAGCTTCTGAGTCTGGGTCTTTAGTCCTGGTCATTGTATCTTTCTGGATCCCAACCTGCCACCTTACCCCACATCTCCAAAACATAACTGTAGTGTAAGGTCTGTTTCTAATACTGCCTTCTTCTATTGTCCATGGTCTAATATCTCTTCCTTTGGAACTTTTGCTTCCTCTCCTGAATAGAATAAAATTTCATATGAATCTCTTCCATGTCTTCTTTCCACTTTGTATCTCAGGCTGTAATTTATTTATGTCTTGTGATATGGGGATTGAACCCAGAGTCTTGGACATGCTAGACYAGCACTACACTGCTGAGCTACTCATAGACCCTTCTGCATGATTTACTAATGAGCATGCTATAGTTGAATGCAGTTTTATCTTTATAGCTTTTTTAAGCACTTAAGCTGATGCAGAGCCTGGCATACAGTAAGCACTCCATAAATGCACATTCAATGAATTCATGATTGATAAAGAAGAAATGATTGACTCTGGAATGTTAAGTTTCATAAAATATTATGATACATTCATGGTCTTGCTTTAGCAAGTAATGTATTGGACATAATTTAGATTATTACTCATGTAGTTTTATATTATAAAGTATAAGTAGTTTGTGACATGGAATTGTGACATACCCTATGTCTCCCTTTCGTCTTTTTATTGAGATATAGTTCATATTCCAAAACATTCACCTTTTTCAAGTACACAGTTCAGTGGTTTTTATTATGGTCAGAGAATTAAGTAATCATTAATTTCAGAGAATTTCCTTCCACCTAAAGAGAAAACTCTCTACCAATTATCCATCACTCTATTTCTCTTCTTTCCCCACCCTCTGATAACAAGTAATTCATTTTCTGTCTCTTTGGATTGCCTGTTCTGGGTATTTTATGTAAACAGATCATACAAATCATAGTCCTTTGTGCCTGACTTCTTTCACTTCTTTCATAGTGTTCTGCTATGCTGTGGAGTGTTAGCACTTCAATCCAACGAAGGCTGAAATATTCTGTTGCATGCATATGCCACACTTATTTATTCATCAATCAGTGGAAGCTTGCATTGCTTCACTGTTTGGCTATTGAAAATATTACTGCTATGAATGTTCATGTACAAGGTTTGTGTGGACATATACTTTCATTTCTCTTGGGCATCTACTTAGAAGTAGAATTGCTAAGAATTACAGAAACTTTATGTTCAGTTTTTTGAGAATCTGCCAAACTGTTTTCCCAAGTCGGGGTACCATTTTACAGTCCCACCAGCAAAGTGCTAGGGTTCAAATTTCTCATACCCTTGCCAACA